CCTAACAATGGATCATTAGCACACTGATGGCTGTTTACTATTCACAGAGGGCTGAGTGATACTAGCAATCCCAGCATTGTAAGAGGGGGACAGTTGAACACGGAGGCCTCCACCTCTGTTTAATGATGGACGAATTCTTTTCACAAAGATGGCCTCCTTTACTCTTCTCTCAAACCATCGTTCCTCTCTGTCCAGGAAGTGAACATCTTCATCCTTGAAAGAGTGACCGCTGGCCTGGAGATGAGTGTAGACCGCAGAATCCTGGCCTGATGATGTTGATCTTCTGTGCTGGGCCATGAATAGTAAACAGCCATCAGTGTGCTAATGATCCATTGTTAGGCTGATGGTCGTCAGCCTAACAGCCTCGTCAGCCTCTGGGCGACGTCCACAGACTGGACGTCGCCCAGAGACGACCTTCGCTGGAGGCGACCTGCAATCCTGACGTTGGTCTCCACTCTTCATCCAGTGGCCGCATCTTCAGTTCAATCCAAGGGAACCCCTCAGTATGCTGATCAATCAACACTTCCAATCGTTGTGGATTTACCGTTGTGGATTATATGACTTTTTCCAATGGATTACAGACTCTGTTTCCAAGGGGTTAAAGCATTGCTACAATGGAATTACCGACGACGTTATGGAATTATAATCAACACAATGGAATTACCAAGAACATTGTGGAATTACCTTGACTTTTGTTTTCCTTGCTGGATTACTTTTGACTTTTGTTTTCCTTGCTGGATTACTCTTGACTCTTGTTTCCTTGCTGGATTACATCAAGTTCAAGGAAATTCGAAGGCGTAAGTTCATGTTTGGAACTCATCCCCATGGACAGGCGATGATTTCCAAAGGGGGGACTGTAGTGAACTAAGCCTAAGGTCAAAACCTTGACCTAAGGACCATATGGGACATAACTTGTCATTTCATTGATTTGCATCCAGAAATACAGGTTGACCCATCCTGAGACTTTGTTTCTTGAATCAATCAAGTAAAAAAAGACTATTCTCTATTATCATTACTATTTTACAAATGTTTGATAATCAAATTGTGTTAAGTCAAACAATGTTTAAATGTTGAAGTGAACTAATCATTTAAATCAACTGTGAAACAGTAATAATGATTCTTAATCCTCATTCAAAGAAGAAATCAGGTTAATATGCATTTCTTGATTTTCTGTCTTCAATGAGCGAAGTTGTAAATGTGTCGAAGTTCAAGTTTCGGTCAACTGAAAGTTTACTGAAAAGAAATGTCATGTTTAACTTTTACGGCAAGATACTGGAAGAGGTGACTCCACGAAGTCTGGTTCCTTCATAATATCTTTCTGTCTGTTCTTAAACAATCTTAATCTTTTTCCTTGACTTTTCATAACACCTTACATCACAAAACACACCTCTGTTTTGGTCCATCGACCAATCAGAAGCTCTCAAATGAACCGGAAGTGAGCTTCCTTTAAATGTTGGCACTTCCTAGTTCAACCAGAGAGTTTGCAGCTCCAGAGTTCATAAAGGCTGGAATTCAGGATGCTGCTGAAAGAGAATCAAGCTGAACCAGAGACGATTTGGGAATTATGAACTTCTGTTTTGGATAAACTCACGACTCCAGAGGTTTTAGCTGTTCTCACGGAGACGCTGAAAGAGTTGAAAGGAGAGCTCTACACCAACGCTGAAACTATCATCTGCAAGGTAAAAGAGTCTATCTCAACTAAGCGTACCGTTGGCCCAAGCTGGAAAAGGAGCGTGTCGGTTCTGGTTAAAACAGACAAATTCTCTCACACATCTCTCTGTAGATAAACTTCATCTTTCCATCTTTAAAATTCTTCTATCTGCTAAAATCATTACAGATATTTTTAGAAATGTCTGAAACAAAGTTTCACCACAGCCGTGTGGTACACGTCTGTTCTGCTGGAAGTGAAAACAACCGCCGTGTTGTTTACCACTCCTGTAAAACTGATTTATAAGCTGTCGTTATTTTCAATTTTGCCAATTAATGTAAATGTGTGATGTGTTAAACTTGATTATGTTAATAAATGACCCACTGTCGTGGTGAGTCAAAGATAATTAACGTCTCACGTCCACATTTTATTACATTCAATGCACGTACATTATACAGTCCAGAAAAATGAAAGAATCCGTTTTAACAGTATGAATATATCTCATCCATATGTTCTACTACAGGAGTATCTCAAATTCATGGCACAGTCTAAACTTGATGAAGAGATCAGTGCACATGAGTTAAAACGTGAGAGGGAGCTCTCACAAAATCACCTTACTTCACAAGCTCACTCATATGAGGAGAAGATGAAGGAAAGGGAGGTCAAGTACCGAAAGTTGTGTTCAGACAACGATGCTCTACAACAACAGTTGCAAGAAGCATCAAATGCTTTGAGCGGATGAAAATCTGAGATAGACGCGCTTAAAACACAACTTTACCATGCAGAACGGAAATATGGTGAGAGGCATGGACAGAATGTGGGGACTCACTGGGCTCCAGACCCAAATCTCCTTACATCACACACACCTCCACCCTTACCTAAAGTAGCAGGGACAGACCTGAACAGGTCTCCTCTACCAAGCAGGCAAGAGAGACCATTGAGACTTCCTCTTTCAATAGATGAACTTCAAAAACTCTCAAAATATGTATAACGCTTTGTACCTGGCCCAATGGGTTCAACTGGTACGAAGGCATATCTCAATTACCTAGATTTCAGACTGAGTGGTTATCCTAATGCTACGGTTGAGGATAAAATCAGTCTGATAATGCTCACTTCGGACAGAGAGGTGTTCACCTTCATCGAGCGTCAACCTGATGCCACGAGGAGGGATTACAACCTTCTGTGTGAAGCTTTGATCAGGGAATACGACCCCTGCACGGGGCCTGGTGGTTGCCCAGCTGCAGACAAAGTCAAGCAAGGGAAGCATGAACATCCAAAGGTTTATTACAAAAGAATCTTCCAAGCTTATTTTGGTTACAGAAATGAAACCGGAATGGAGAAAGAAGAAGGTTTTAAATTTGTTTTCAGCAAAAATCTCCACACTGACATTAAAACGTCAGTACAGATGATGGCTAATTTCAAAGAAAAATCCATCAATGAGATTAAACAGTGTGCTGTGAATGTGTTTGCGGCCTGTTCTCATGTTAAGATGCCCATAGAGGTGTTTCCTGGTGTAAAGGTTAAACCCCACTTGCTAGAACTGGAAGGACAGCGTGCATCGCCTCCTCCTCCTAAGAAAGGCGAGAAAAAGCAGTCTTTTCAAACTAACAAACCGCGTCATGAAGGTGCACGCTGGGACAAAAAAGCTCCTCTTTCAGAGGATGAACGTGATTATCGTAAGTGGGGTGTGCGTAGGACGAAAAGATATGGGAACCA